CCAGGCCGGGGGAGCACCGTGCGGGGCAGCGAGCGCTGCCCGCGTGGGGCGGGAGGTGCCGAGCCCTGCGGAGAGCAGTGGAGGAGCTGCTGTGGTTCTTTGCTGTGTCTAAGTATGACCGGCAGCAGGGTTATCTTCAAATGCTCAGAAAGACGATCAGGTTTTAGAAAAGGTTTTACGGGCGCTGTGAGAATAGTTCACAGTTTGGGAAATAAGCTTTGGCAGGGGAGGTTTGTTCTCAGCTCGTTTCTTCAGAGACGCACCGAGGACCTCTCCTGGGTTGAAACAGAAGGAAGATGTATTCCCGGTTGTGCAAGATTGATCTGTAAAGATCTCACACTTGAGGACATGCACAGGCCATGCGGTTTGCGATCTGAATGCCCAGAAAATCTGGTTTTAACTCTAGCATCCTGAGTTAGTCCAAATATGCAAGAAGTGGTGTTTGTCAGCCAGAACCTTTCCCTGAGCAGCAAGAATTCCTGCACTTTTCCTGATGCACCCAGGGTGTGCTGACATTGCTCTGAGTTTCCATCACATTATGATCAGGGTTTGGCCTGAACTCTCTGTTTATGGAATTGCTTTTGATTGTTTTATTTGGGACCTTACTCAGTATCACAAGGAGGGAAATAATGATAAAATAAAATGGACATGCAGAGGGTTTTTAGTATTATGATAATACTCCTTTCTTCTTTGCCTGGTTAAGTCATGAATATAATCTAAAGTCAGCACGGTAAGAGTGAAAAGTTTCTGGTTTGCAGTGTTGCTTCTGTTAGCTGCTCCTGCTTTCCAGAGAAAAATTGCAGCTGCAGGAATGAGATGATGTTTTTGAAGGAGGTCAGTATAAACAGCAGTATGTTTACACAAATGTGGAGTTTTTTTCCTGTTCTTTAGTTCTAATATTATGTAGCACAATGTGTTTAGTACCACACCAGACATAAAGTACCACTGGCTGTTTGTAGTCTCATTTTCTGCTCTTTCTTGTGTTCCATCTTGAAGAACAAGCAGAAATTGGAGTATGAGCTGAGGAGCTGAGTGTGTGGTTTATTGATTATTGCACACAGTGATTTCTTGGGAAGCAGTTAGTGGGCAGGAGTTCAGCTTCTGGTTCCTGTTTCCCAATATGTGTCAATAAAGTCAATTAGATTAATTCTGAAATTGCCCTGCAAGTTAAAGGATATTGGCTGAACCTAGCAGGCTGCATTAGAAGATTACTTGGAAAGATCAGTATAAGGTATTTAAAGCTGGTTTGTTTGCAGGCTTTATTTTTGGTTGGCAATGCATCATTGAGTCAGTATTATTTCTGACTTCAGCAGAAGAGTTTTGTATACAAAAGAATGATAAGTAGTGCAGCTGTGATTTTCCTTAGAGGTTAAAAATTAGGTAATTAATTCAGGTATCTGTTTTCTGCATGTTCCCTGTCAGCAGCCTCTCTATTGAAATTCAGGTCTGAATATCTTTAAAAATAACTGCAGATGAAAGAGCTGTTTGTGTCAGCGCTCAGCTTTTAAAGCACCACGTTCAGTAGAGCTCTCAGGTATTTGCATCATTATTGACCTTGCACTGCTGTTGATGATGGTAACGTCCTTTGGAAAACTTCTGTAATGGAAATATGATGCAAGAAGGAAGCTTGAGGAATTGGGACATCACTGGAGCTGCATCCTGAGACTTGAGGTTGTGGTTTAATGGTAGATATGTTCTTGGCATTCATGGTGTGCAGTATATTTTACCTTCAGACCCCTGTAAGAGCCTGTGGGTGATCTGATCTGGTGTTTTATGAAGTAACTAAGTGTGTGTGTGTGTGCTTGCACAAGCACCTGTGCTGGAAGAGATGAGCCTGCTGTGGTAGGAACAAGTGAGGTGTGAGAGGAGTTCCTTGAGCAATACTGCTGTGGAAACTTCCTGCCTGTGAAGGTGTGGTGTCAGAAAAATGATGTATTTTGAAAGATGTGAGAAAAAGCAAATATGCACCTCTGAGATTTTTCAGATCTGGTTTTCCTAAGGAAGATTAGATTTCCTATTTCTGTATCTGGAGAGGTGTCAGGAAGCATTTCCCTGTGATGGTCCTAAGCTCTGTCATTATTGCTGTGCTGCACAGACCTGCCTAAGCATGCAAAATTGGAGACAAACAAGGGAGGTGTGGGTTTTTAGAGCACTTAGTCACTCTCCTGTGATGGCTTTTTACATGCAGGGATAAAATGACGTTTGTTTGCCACTAATGACTTCTTTTTTTTTTCCTAGCTGAACTTTAAGTTGTGCTTTGGGAGTGTTCCACAGCCAAGGCTTTTAGTGTTGGAACTGAGTTTAAAAAGATGAGTGTGAAAGACTAAACCACTAAAAGCTTCCTCAGTCTCTTATTCTCAAGTCACTGACTTGTTAGCTGTGGACTGTCTGACCTCAAGAGCAGTGTATGCCAAAGGGATTGTTCCAAGATTGCCAATATGATTATAACATATTGAGTTGTGAGCCCAGGCAATAAACCTGGATGTCCTCTGGGCCAGTGAGCACAAACCATGTGATGTGAGCCTCTCCTATCTGCCATATCTGCCTTCAGCTAAGCTCTGTCTCTTCATGGGGGCTGAGTACCATTGTCCAGTTGCTGTGGCTAGTAACAACCTCACTGGGTAACCAAGTGATCAGCATATGTTAGTCATAGATGAACTTTGGGCTGATGTTCAGCTGGTCATTTTTTGGCTCCTAAACAGCCAGGTTTGAATGAGTGGTGTTCCTAGCCTAGAGCTCTTGCTTTGTCATCATGCAGCTCATGACCCTCCACCCTGCCAGAGCCGCGATGTGGCTCACGTGTTGTCTGCTGGGGCTGCAGCCCTTGTGTTTGCGCAAAATGATTAAATAGACCTGAAGCCTCAGCCACGGGAGCTTGGCATTGGTTACTGTATGCTAAGGGGATTAAGATCACTCAATTTGTATTCATTTCTGGAGTGTAAGTCTGTGGCATGTAGGATTCAGCATCAACCCCCACATCTATTTTTTCTCCCTTTAGTTTTCCCCCCACATTGTACTGCGCAGTGCTCTTGTAAATGGAAAATTTAACTTCTGTTTGGAATTTGGCTTTCTCAGTTTTGTTTTGCAGATAGAATTCTGCTCAAGAGCAGATGTGTTATTGAGATGGAATATATTTTTCAAATCCGTTATTGGAATGGTCTGTGTTTAAACAGGTAGTTGAGTGGAAGTGTTCCAGCCAACTGCCCTCCCCCACCAAAAAATCCATTTGCCCCAAAACAGACAAAAAAAACCCCATAATGTTTGCTTCCTTAACTAATAATTTGCAACAGGAATATGTTAATTAATAAGGTAATATTAAATTGTGGAATTATTTTACTATTCTAAAGCTAAATTTCTTGGCTTATCTAAAGGAAAGACCACCTTATACGATGCTTGCAATAACCTTTTTAGAGAAAATGTGGAATGTGTTAATTTCTGTAGATTAACATTTTTGGGGGGGTTTTAGTTCAGTGGAGGGATGAGTTTTTCTCTGGCCTTGAGGCTGTTGCTTTCCTTGTGGCTTATCTGTCAGTGAGCAGTCACTGTGGGTGAGCTGTTGTTTCTGCAAATACAGATAAAATGCTGCATTCTGTGGTTGGCTGAGGCAGTTCTAAATAATGTAACATCACTGGTGTCTGTCTGTGGAACTCCTTTGGCCTAATTACAGCAGTGAATCGGTTGGCTTGGGGTTCCAATTTAGGATGACAAAAGCAGTATTAGTCACCAGCTTGTTCTGTGCTATTTATTTTACTGTAGGAGGAGATTTTTTGATTGGTATTGTTTATGTAAGAGTTTTGCTAATCATCGTAGCAACTCTCTGAGTAGAGGTGAGCTGGAGGGTTCTGTGAAAGTCTTGTGGGTTGTAATAAGAGGAGGAATGCTCTGGTTACAAGTTACTGTAAAATCCAGCAGTTCACGAGACAGTGATTGAACAAGACCAGTAGCCTCTGGATCATGAATAAGACATTTATAGATCAGTGAGTTTATTTAGCTATTGTGACTTGTTAGGGAAATTAAGTTGCACTGATGATTTGTCATGACTTATGTATAGAACAGGGTTTAACAGTCATAGTTTGAACGTGTCTATGTGTCATAACAATATTCTGTGTGCTTAGTATATAGTAGAGATGAAAGGTGTTTCAGCCTTTCCTTCTGCTGTTAAACTACTGTTTTTAGACTATAATGAAATTTAACTTTATTTTCTTATTTCAGTAAAAAATCCCAGAAGTGGGATGAGATGAACATCATTGCTACGTACCACCCAGCAGGCAAAGATTATGGCTTGATGAAAATAGATGAGCCAAGCACTCCTTATCACAGGTACACTCACTGGACTCCTGCCCTGAACACTGCCATGTAACATCAGTTTTACAACAAAACATACTTTGTGTGTGGTGTAGCATTTCTTATGTCTGATTGTGACTGTGCAGACCTGCTGGACGTGGGCAACATGCTCAGATTCACAAAGCTTCTCAAGCTACTGAGGAGAACTGTCTAAAAGGACAGAGTCAGTTTTAGAAGGGTCATGTTAACAGGTTTTAGGCTTTGAATGGAATAAATGTGACTGGTATTTTTTTTTATTTTTTTCAGTATTTGGATATAATGTTGTAATGTCAATATTTAAAGTAGATTTGGAAAGCTTTAAAAATATCAAAGGAGTCTTTTCATTGAATATTGTGAGGTTTTGACTGTTTTCTCAAGCAAGCTTTAAGCAGCAAATTACTAATAAAGGCTACTTTTTGTTTTTTCTCCAAGCATGATAGGAGAAGATGATGAGGATGCAGTGAGTGATTCAGAGTCAAATGAGCCCTTAAAAGCAGATGTGTTGAGTAAAAAGTAAGTATTGTCTTAGAAAATTAACTAAATGTTGAGCTCCTCTGTTCTTTCGTGGAGCAGATTTTCTGTATGGAAAGCTGTTGCTGATTTCTCTAGAAGTTGCATTTTAACTATTGCCAAATTAAGTGGGTTTCAGTGTTCAATGGTGACACTGGTAACTTAAACCTCTTGCAGATTGTTACTACATACAAATATGGCAAAAATAACGAACTGAGTTTGCATGAGTGTTCTGAAATGTCATGTATTTTAACTAGTGAAAAACTAGCTATTTCAGCATTTTGTATTGCATGATTTATGTAGACTGGCAGCTGCAGCTGAAGGTAAAGGACCCAAGATTATAGCCAGGCAAGAGGAAAGCAGTGAGGAGGAGGAAGAGGATGAAGATTTAACACCTGAAGAACGAGGTAGGCATAGGTTGTTTTCTTTATTTTGTTTTGATTTATTTTTTTTCCCCTTGACCATAGTTTCAGATTTTCAGTAAGAAATATTTGGGGGAGAAAAAGTACTATCAGAAAAATGTTGTGATTTGAAAATGGAGATAAATAGTCTCTGAACAAATATGTTTGTTGCTAATCAGGATTGTTTGGTTTGGGATCTACATATAAACAGGAATTTGCTGTTACTGGCTGCGTCCTTGTACACAAGCTTAAGATGTGGGAATTCCTGCTAAGGAACTTTGAGTTCTCAAATAAGTTCTTCTTGTTTGAGGGTGAGATAGTAGTTCTTAATCTGGACATATTTCAGGTGGACTTAATTCAGTAAGTACCACTGCAATTAAGATGCTACTAATAGCTTGCAAACATACAAATATTTCTGTTGTTTTCAAAGCAACTGGTAGATGGATCCAGTAGGAAATCTACAGTTATTTCAAAGCAAATAGCATCTTCAACAGAGATCTTGTTTTGTGCTAACTTGGACTAGAGCACTTTGAGGAAATAGTCAAACAATTCTTCTAAGGTTTCAGGCTTGCATTATCTGGCTGTTGCTTCTCAAATTTCCTGGCCCCAACTTTGAGCTCTAACCCTGCTGTTCTACAGGAAAGATAGAAACCAACACAGTGTTGGGGCTGCCAATAAGCAAAGTTTATTTTAATTATAATGCATTACTACTTGACCTCCTAATGTTTAATATATGGAGCAAAGTTAGGCTTCAGGCCATGGGGAAAGTGGAAAATATTTTCTTCTACATGTGGTAAATATATCTCTCATAACTGACCTTTGGTAGCTATCCAGGAGGCAAGGCAGACATCTGCAGAAGTTCATCTTCTATCCCACCAGTGCATCTCAATTTGTCCTTAAGTTTACTTAGAGACAAAGCTTGTGAAACTCTGGAATTTTGTGAGCTGCTACCAGATGCTTCTCTTGGTTCAGACTTGCTGTTAGTTGCAAACAGGTTCTCTTAAAAGTGCTTCAGCCATTCCAGTCCATCAATTACTATCCCTTTTGTAAGTCAGACTCATTTTAAAAAGACACTCCACTGCTTGAAGAAAATAATTTTAATCCAGTGATTGCTTTTAAGATTTGTTTTTTAAGACAAGAAATAAATATTTGCATTTGTTTGTCCACAGAGAAAAAGAAACAGTTTGAAATGAAGAGAAAAATGCACTACAATGAAGGAAGAAACATCAAACTGGCAAGACAGCTCATTGCAAAAGAACTCCATGGTGAAGAAGAGGATGAGGATGAGGATGAAGAGATGCATGATGCTGCAGATGTAGAAACAATGAGTACAGAAACTACCGAACACGGTGAGCTACCGATGAATTAAAAAGCACGTTTAAGTACTGGTGCCCCTGTCAGCTGTTGGGAAATGAATACACTCAGGTGCTCAGCATGAACAGAAAGGGTACAGTGTGTATGTAATGCCCAGTGAGCAGTGCTGCACACTGCCTTGATAGGTAGATTTGGAGCATGGAGCAATACCCATCAGTGTTGATAAACAGCTTGCAGGATTTTGTTTGTTGTGACATAACAGAAAAGCAAACATCTTTGTTTCGTGCTATTTCCCCAACATAACTGACTTTGGGTAGTGAAGTTACCCGCAACCTTTTTGAAGGAGGAGCTCTCTTGTACTGAACAGTTAAAGCAGTGGCCACACAGGAGAGTTTGGCCTTCTGCTCCCATTCAGGGTCAGTTCCCATTCTGCTCCAAATCCATCCTGCAGCCAGCAATGGGAAACTACCATGAATGCTTCCTCCCTGGTGAAAGGACTGTATCTAACTTCCTAAAGAAGAACACTGTAGTGTAAAACTGCTGTTAGGACTTCAGTATGGACTTGTCCTTGAGCAGTATTGGTCATTGCTATAGATGGTGTAAGACTCTCAACTTTGCTTTTAGTGCAGCTACTGGAAGAAAGTCTGGGACTTTTAGGTGTGAGCTGTTTCTGGAACCTGCTTCAGGGCTGTTTCTTCATAGGAAACTTGTAAAACTATAGAGGCTGACACCTTCTCCTTCATCTTTAAGCTTCTCTCTGGGTGAAGAAGGTAGACTGTATAATAAAAGTCTTTGAATTTTGTGGTGGTCTTCTGGTGAATAATTACAGTTCACTACCCACCTCTGTGTGTACCAGCACTTGGAACAAGTGTTTGTCATTAAAAGACAGACATCTGTTGCTCATGAGACTAGTGGCAATGAAGTCTGTAAGACTCATTCATCTGTGGCTGGCAAAGCTCCGAGATGTGTGCACGGTCTGCAGACTTGGGAAGATGCTGCATGGGTTTAACTTGGTTCACATTTGCTTTTCACAACCATGTGAACTAGGAACTCTTCTAAAATCCATTTAAATTCCACACAATAAAAAGGTGATTTGCCAAATTGCGTGTTCGAGGTCTGGATTGCACGTTTTAGTCCCACTGTTTATTACAGGAGGACTAATGCCTTCACAATTGCCCCGAAAGGATCATTTTGGTATGTCTGAGACCCATTACTGGATTGACTTTATCCAGTGACTTAGCATAGGCCTTATAATGGCTATTTACTAGAACTTCACTCTCCAGGGGAAAGGAGGGCTCCCATAGGCAACCGTATGACCTTTCTCCATGGCCTGAAGCTGCCATCCCTCTGCACTCTGCTGTAAAACAGAGGCAACTCCGCTCCCCAGCTGCATTCTCCAGTGGAAAGAAGGCAGACCTTTGCAGCATTTTTCCATCTCTATTGTTGAAGTCCATTCCACCTTCCTCATAACCAGCTTCAGAGCCACAACTGGTAATTACAATTTTTAGACTCCTCATGGCTAATGGATTCCATAAATGCAACTGCCAGTTTATCAACCCATTAACTAACTAGTTCACCTCCACACTATTGCCCATAGAAATACCTTCCATTAACCTGATGTAGTTCTCAGTTCTTCACTGTTCTATCATTCTGCTTAAACCTTGATGTTTGCTTATCTCCTAACCTCTGTATCAACCATCACAGCTCTAGGTCTCTGTCCTTGGTCAGCTCTTAGGAGGTTAAGTACTGGTCTCACTTCTCTAGCAGCTGGTGAATTGAATGTCCTCAGACTGATCATGTGTGACTCTGCAGCAGGGTTGCTCAAAGGATGGGATATGGACACAACTGTTATTAAAGCTCTCTGTCTTCTGCCACTACCCACATTTTGAGAAATCCTACACTTGGCCTGTGTTCAGCACCATGGCTGTGTTTATGTCAGAGTTTTACTGAAATAGCTTTTTTGAGATGAGATCTATTTATCACTCATCTGTATGCTGAGGGCACAGAAGAATCTCCTTTTTTATAAATGATAATTAGAGCTACAAAACATTCCTCAAATAGATGGTTTTAACACCTGCAGCTTGGGGTTTTTGCTAGTCTGTGCTTTTGGTCACATTAAGCACTTATGTATTCAAAACAGTATTTCAATTTGATGGTTTCCTTCATGGAAGTGGATCAAAATGCTATTAACATTCATGTTTCTGTGATTCCCTTGGTAGTACTGTAATTGTATGGAAAGACTATTCACCTGGATAGCTTTCAAAGAGCTCTTTTTCTTCAAATTGTGTTCTAAAGTGCTTTTGTACAGAGCAGAAAAGGAGGGGCTCTTTGTGTACTGGGTGAGGCAGGAGCTGACTTTTGCAATGGCTTATTTTGGCTTCACTCTGTTAAGCTGACTGACAGCCCTGACACTTACTTTTAACTGCAATGGAAATATCTTGGGTTTTCTGCATGTTATGTTGTAGCTACGTTTTGATAAATTCTTCATTCCATTTGAATGAAGAATTCTTGGCAAGTTATGGAGATCAGGAGGTGGTGTGGCTACCCCTCACCTGTTATGCCTGTCAGTCTGTGTGAGAGCTGCCATGCAGTCTCTTTATTCCATTGGAATAACATGACTTCTGTAGTACTGAAGATTATTGCAGGTAAAGATGTGACATAAGAGGCATTTCTTAGTGGTCTGTTGTGACTCTAGGACTCCACTGGCTTCTAGGTTGTTTTTCAGGCAACTTGAGACCCTCTTCTCACTTGGAATTTTTTTTGTCCATGAAGATCCCTTAAAGGTTCTGTGCTTCTCTTATCTGATGTTCCTTTCTACCCTCTAATCCTGTCTGTTTTGTGTTTGAGTAAAACTAACAGTACTCTTCTAATCTTTACTCCCCTTTCCAAGAAGGGGTAAAGACTGAGGTTTTTAAGAAGACTCCTGTCAGATACCAGCAGGTTTGCTAATGTAAGTTGCACTTCTTGGTTACAGACTGAGATTTCTTGCTGATTGAAATGAAGATGGCCAGTCCAGTCAGTGATGGTGAGAACTCTTTGTATTTTTGCCCCTGTCTTCACTGTGGCTACCAAATGTTTTAAATGGATGGGTCATTCCTTTATTGCCTCAAGTAGCTGTACCTTATCCCATGCATATAGATTCTAGCAGCCAAGCTCTATGGTGGAAAAGAAAGTAGAAATGATAAGACTGCACACAGCAGGGGGGCTGGAACTGGATGACCTTTAAGGTTCCTTCCAACCCAGACCATTCTATGATTCTGTGTTTACTTGCTTCAGCATTTCAGCTCTTCTGGCTATTCCTTATTTATGACTCTATGAATGACATGAACAGACTTTGCCAGCAGAAGTGACCTTTGTTCTTCTCTATAAAAGCTTGTCCTTTAGAAATTCTCTTTGAAATCACTGAAGGAAGTATTCCTGATGTAGGTAAATTGAAGCATGATGATTTCAGTGCAGACCTGTCTACCTCTGCTATACAAAAGTATCAGCTAGAGGGTGTTGTCTGTAGCAGGTCAATTGAGAAGCAGCGAGACCATTGTTCTCTCTCTGGTTCATTTCATGTGCATTGCTGTGCTAACTCTGCTCAGAGGGTGCCCATCAGCTTACCTGGCACTGGCTGGGTGTGCCCTATGGCCTTTGGCACATACAGAATGTGTTGTGTTTTCTTAACCAGAGTGAGATCACCCTCAAGATGACTCGGGTGGGAAGGCTGAGAGCATACATGCATTGGTTCTGTTGGTTACTATGCTATTTGCTTGGTAAACTGCACATTACCAAATCTAATTCAAGCCCAAGCCTAACTGGCTTTAAAAAAGTTTATTATAATTTCATTGTGGTATTCTTTGATCTTTGCCTTCTGCCACCAAGGTTTTAGTTAGGTTAAAAATAAATAAATAAACAGGGCTCTTTCTTATGACAAGCACTAATGAGAAGGAGCTTTCTCTATTTTATTGCTGTGCTTTGGCTTAAAACCATGAGTTTAATAACTTCCTGAAAACACAACAGACTGTGCTCCTTCATTTGTAAACTTGGGGTTTTTTATTTCAAGTGTCTCATCTGGAATTGAAATTTGACCTGGAAAGTACTGTGTTTGCTGGTGTTTCAGGAACCTCCTTTGTCTTAACTCCTGGGTTAAATCCTCCCAGTTCCAGGGGTGGTGAGCGCTCAGTGTACCGAGCTGTGGTGTTAGACATCTCTTCAGAGCATGAGGGGGAAATAACTATTTTAGAAGTTTTTGCACTCTCAAACTAAAAGCTCATATATTGCTAAGATGGGTTGGCAAGCACTACCTTTGGGGAAACAAAGATGATTTAGGAGGATATTCATGTGTGTTTTGAAAATATTCAGTGAGTGTGAAGAATTATCTATTTTCTGTACTCTTTCTTATGCAGCACATGTTACTCGTACCAGCTGGAAAGTAGAGCACACAGCATAGAAGAAATCTGTCCAGAACTGTAACTGCTTTCTCACAGACACAAACATAAACATCGCTTCATGATTTTTGCAATTAAGGCTCTTACATGTTGAGAAGCATATCAGTTACAATGTTGTATTGCCAAGAATGTTAATTTTAGACTTGTCCATGAGGCAGAAAACACTGTCTAATTGATTTATTCTTGTGCCTAGTACTTCATGGAGAATACTGCTTCATAATCTGTTCAGCCAGGACAGCATTCCCTGTATGCATAACGCTGATTATCTTTGGTGATGTACTGTTACTCTTGCTTCGAAACACTCACTATCTTTTGGGCTTTCACTATTTATTTGAGAGTGTTCCAGATGTGGTGTCTCTCCTGGAGAGGTTTGGGATTCAAGAGCCAAACAGTACAGCATATATCAGACTGACATGCAAGCTATTTATCAGATGTGCTAAGCAGTTTAAAAAGGGATTATTTAAGTCCTACTCCTTTTTTGTAAAGTGTTGACCCGTTGATCTAGGTTTCAGTTTGTTATTACCTGCCCTTCCCCAGTCTTTAGGACAAGAGCTGTGTCATTTCTCCAGAGCGGTGTTTGGAGTCGGCTGTTAGTGTCTGACTGAAGCAGTGCTAACATCTGGTGGAGGGAATGTTTTTACACTGGAAATGGCTACCTTGAACTTTGCATTTAACTGTCATTATCTCTTCCATCGGGACTGGCTGTTTTGTGGAGCTCTTTGGCTTATCATGAGAACATGGAAGTTTCCTCTAGCTTTTCTCTTAAACCACATCCACTGTCACTCTTCTGGCTCTTGTTTCAAATGTTTGGTTCTCTCCAGTTGCATGAACAGTACTTGTGCTACTAGCACTTGAGGAAAAACACCCAGCCACGAGGAAATCCACATCAGGACTGTGAAGATGTGCTGAGCTTAGGCTCTGGCTGTTTTTTATTCAAGATAACTGCTGTTGATCTACTCACTTGGAGTTGGCAACTTTCGTACGGAAAACCACTGGTCTAAATCTTCCTGTGTCCATTGCAACTTACAGCAGCTGCTTTTGTAAAATGAAGGCTGTTTGGAAGACTAGAAGGGAAACTGCCTATTTCAAATACTCATTTACAGTGTGGTTGTATAGCCCCTGTAAAGAGGGATTCTGCACCTCCATATTGCTGTAAACAACTTCCCACTGGGTGGAATTTGACTGGTGAATGTTCCAGTATTCAGAGTAGTTCCTGGGGTTTATTACACAAAGTATACACTTAAGCTTTAGCTTGGTTATGGAATACAGTGTATATCTTAATTTTGATCCGAATTTGATATGTTGCAAAAATCCATATAATGATATGGGTCTATTTTAAAATGTCTTTTTCTCCACTGTATATGTGAAGTTTGAATAAAGGAATGAAAGTTATTTTACAGTTATATGCATTCCCAAGTGTGAGCTTTCATGAAATCCAAGAGAGACCGAGAGTGAATAAGGCAATAGGATGCTGTCCTTGGAAAGGTTTATACAGGAATAATTCATGAGAATGGATGCATTGCCAGAGGTACCTGTGAGTTGTGCTAAGTGGGGGTTGTAGTGTGCCTTTCCCAACGATCTCTCCTTAGCAGGTAACAGGGGTGTCAGTTGTGGGTTATTTAATCTTCTAAGATCCTGAATCAGGATTAATAGCACCTTTTCACAAGAAGGAATTGAACTCTTGATTCAGGCCAGTGTGGTGATGCTTATTTTTCAGCATGGAGAATGCTATCTCTTCTTGTATCAAACTTGGTCACTTCTATAGGATAAACAGAGGCAAAGAGTAAGCATTTGGACACTTCTGACTCCTCAAGTCACTTCCTGTAGCTTTAAACTTGGCTCCCAAGAAGAGGATATCAAAACTTAAAGCTCTCACCCTTTATACACCAGCTTGCAGTGTTCAGACTGTTGGCCTGTCTGCACCAACCTGTGTTTCAGACTGAGCAGCTGAGGGCCTGTCCTGCCCCAGTGGGCACTGAGGTCTTGCTGAGAGCACTCGGCAGGGCTGTGTCTCTTCCAGACTGGAGCATGGATGGGTCAAGGTGTGACCAATGTGTGTGGGTAGCACAGATTTCTTCTGTGAGGCTGTAAGACACATCATTTGTACTTTGTGATAAGTACATGTGGGTACTTTGTACCTGCAGTTAAGGTAGAATCCATCATGAACTCTTAGATGAGCTACTGTCCTGCCCTCCTTCTCCCCCCCCCCCCCCCCCCTTGGGCTGTGTGTCCAAGACTTTTGGTGCTCAGTGGAGCTTCTTTGTCCTCCTGCAAGCTCTGGAAAGCATTTTGTTAAACAAACAAAAAACTTTGCTAAGTTTCCTGTAATGGCTTCCAAAATACTGAATGCAACGAGCTTTGAGGGAGGTACAGTATACATAAATGCATGAAGATGGTTTTAAAAACCTCAGAATGAATAGTAGGTCCCTTCATCAGTCAGATATTTTGAGCTGTCTGGCTGGGCTCCCTTTTTCCATGTCCCCAAGCCCCGAAGTTCTAGTTAGATGCAATTTTGGAACTTGTGCTTGTTTTAGTTTGGGGTTTTATTGAAAATTTTGTTCTCTTCATTCCCCTCAGTGCTAGCAAAAATTCTGTTTGTGCTGCAGCTTCACCTTCCTCACCAGGAGTGCAACCCGATGTCCCTGACACTGCTTTCATTGAAAGGCTGCTTTACTTGATTTTATCCAGGCTTACACCTTCATGCACTTATAAAGCTAAACCAGGCAAGTTAATTCTGCAGTAGCTACAGATACTCTATATAGCTCTTTTTACAAAGGGATGTCTGATTTCCCTCTGTTAGGGAAACACCAGTTTTAGTTCCCTGCTGACTGGGGACAAGAGAAGAAATGCCTTTTCTCTTCTTAGGTTTGATGGGGACTTGGCTTGCATGTGCACTTTATTCTTGAGGTGCATGTGGTAAAGGCTCATTTGTACAGTACAGAGTGGTGTGAAGAGGAAACAAAAGACACACAGCCCTTACTAATGTGGACAGTGAGCTCCACAGATCATCATTGTGAAGCTTCTTGCACAGGTTGAAGTCCTCAAGTTGCATCCTGTTTAGAGAAAGCATTTTCAATATACTTCCAATAGGAAGATCACTTGCAAATAAAGAGCCTTAACTCTGTTTTTAAAGGTTTTTTCTGTCCTTAGAGTTTCTTCCACACCAAGTTGTACACAGTTCATAGAAACTGCAGATACTTTGTCCACAGCTCACTCTCTCATGTTAAACTTGTACACCAGAACTCTTTGTTTCTGTAACATGCTTTTTTGTGGTTATTATGATACCACCTCACAAATGTAATTGTTCTGTTTGAAACCAGTGTTGAGTGTCACAACCTAAATAAAACCATTGTTTTCGTTACTGCCTTATGGCACTAATCCCCATCTATTGGCTTGACTTCTTGAAGCTCTTGAGAAGAAACTGGCAGCTACTGTCAGGTGTGTTCATAGATAAACTCATAAACCAATATAGCAATTTCCTCATGACTGCAAATGAGGAAGTACTCACCAGTGTAACTTTGATTGTAACCAGTTTGTACACACTGTCAGGTTTGTTGGCTACCTAGACACGAGGGTACGTCTGGTAACCTGAGTCATAACTGTAAGACAGCAGCACCACACAACAGGTTGCATTTTTTCAAGGTATTTTTCTTCGTGTGTTGTAGGATTTAAGCATGACTGGTCTGTCTCTTCATGGTTAGCACTGAGTCATGACTCACTAGCATTGAGTAATGGAAAATGACCCCTTAGGAAGTAAACTATTCCCCAAAACAAGAGCTTGGGCTCTGTTTTCAATTACATACTTTAGTTGAAAAGTGGATTTCACAACATAAATGCAGCAAAGTGATACAAGAATTTCTTAATACGCTGCTTTTTCTCTGTGGGTGTGATGGATGCACTCAAGTCCTTCACCAAACTGGCAGTACTTTGGGTAGTTTTGGTGAGAACAGCGCACAAAAATACACAGCTGTTACATCTGTGTAACTTGTAGTTTGATTCTGACATTTCACCAGGCTTAAAAATAGAAAAAAAACCCCTAACACCCTAAACCACAACTGACTGAGCAAAAAAAGTGTCCCTGTGCTTCTGTGAAGACACCTGAACCAAGGGAGGGGCAGTAAGGGTACAGCATTCAGCTGCTTGGAAAAATCCTATGTTCCCCTCTATCCTTCCATGTTGACTGTTCCTCCTTGTGATACCAAAGAGGTGTTGGGGAGAGTGAAGGGGAAGAAGAAGAAAAAAAGGGAGCTGCACCAGGAGGTGGAACTCGGTGCAGGTGGTGGGGTGATGGAGGGTGTGGAGGCTGCAGGGGGTGAGTGGGTTTGCTGAAAGCAGGTGTGGCAGTTCCTCAAACTCCTGGAGGAGCCCAGAGGGAACATGATCAACTTGTGTCAGCTTCCCAGTGTCCCTGTGACAGCAGGATGGAACCTGTGGTGCTGTGACTGCTTCATCTTTGCCAGGGTCAACCTGAACAGTAACTTGTGCTCGAGGACTGGCAGGGGTGGCTGGTGCTCCTTGGCAGTTTTGCTTCCGGGAGCATTGAGCAAGTGCCAAACTGGTTAGAGATCTTTTCTGTATTCTCTTAAGGGAGCAGAAATCCACACTGTCCTGCAGCCCTTCACTGCGGGCTGGGAGAGCGACGAGTGTTCCTGTGCCCGCTGTGACACAGCCCCTCGGGCAGACACTCACCACAAACACACACTTGACAGCTTTTCCCAGAAAACTTGCAGTTTGCCTTCCTCCTTCCCAGACACCTTCGAGTCTGCCCCAGGGAACACAACTCCACAGTTATTGCCACGACCGAGGAGTGATTCAGCTGGAGCGGAGCTGGAGTTTCTCTGTGGTGGCACCTTCAGCAAGGACACTGCTGCCCGCGGGGCCGTGCGTTCCTTCCCTCACACCGTGTGTGCCTTCCCTGGGACTGTGTGTGCCATCCCTGGGACCGTGTGTCCCTTCCCTCACACTGTCCCTTCCCTCCCACCGAGCGTCCCTTCCCTCACACCGAGCGTCCCTTCCCTCACACCGAGCGTCCCTTCCTTCATACCGTGCGTCCCTTCCCTCACACCGTGTGTGCCTTCCCTGGGACTGTGTGTGCCATCCCTGGGACCGTGTGTCCCTTCCCTCACACGTGTCCCTTCCCTCACACCGAGTGTCCCCTCCTCACACCGAGTGTCCCCGTTCCCTCACACCGTGTGTCCGTC